CGCAGAGCGGGGAGCGGGGCTGGCAGGGGAGGTGGGAGACGCTGCTAACCGCCCTGTCTCTCTGCTCTCTTCCAGCGCCTCCGGAGCCAGCGTGGTGGCCATCGACAACAAGATCGAGCAGGCAATGGTGAGCCAACCTCGCGTGCACCCCGGGGTGCCGGTGTTGTGGTCCCCACGCCGGTGGCGCCGTGGCCGGGAGCAGCCGTGGGGCTGGGGTCCTTTGTCTGCCGCCCGCTGCTGGCAGAGCCCATTGGCTCCGGCAGCGCCGCAGTGCGCAGGGAGCAGCGCCCGGAGAGGCACAGCCCAGTGCATGGCCTGGGGACAGGGGCCTGGGATGGCCCCTCTGGTGCTGGGGCATGTGGGGGCCAGGCAGCGCGGGTCCCAAGAGCAGTAGGAGCTGCCGTTGGGGGAGTACAGGAGGGAGAAAGCCTCTGGAGGCGCCAAGACCAAAGGGCTTGGAGAAGCCTGCGGTTGCTTCTGGCTCTGGACTGGCAAGTGGCTGGGGGGACAGAGCCCTGCAGGGTGGGGGGAAGCAGCCCTGAGGGTCTAACCGTGGAGTAATGGGCTGTTGGTTGGCTCCTTGCAGGACCTGGTGAAAAATCACCTGATGTACGCTGTGCGGGAGGAGGTGGAGGTGCTGAAAGAGCAGATCAAAGAACTGTTGGAGAAAAACTCCCAGCTGGAGCGAGAAAACAGCCTTCTGAAAACCCTCGCCAGCCCTGAGCAGCTGGAGAAGTTCCAGTCGCGGCTGCCTGCGGAGGTGCTGAGCCCACAGGAGCAGAGCCCTGGGGCACCAGCCCCGGCTCAGCACACCGGGGGTTCTGCGGTATAAGGTGGCTCTGTCCTTGGGGTGGGCAGAGCCACGGAACTCTTTCTACTTCCAATCTCCCGCAAAGTCGTTTCCGCCTTCGTCTTACGGAGGACTGCCAAAGCCTGGCACCTACAGGGGTGCTCAGAGGTGCCCCCCGGGCAAGCCCGTCCAGACATTGAGCCAGCTGCTGCCTCCTGCACGGAGATGCTCTTCGCCGAAGGAGACGCGGAGCTGCAGCGGACACCCCTCTCCCCACGCCGGCCGGCCTCTCCCCACCATGCGCAGGGAGGAAAACTGTGGGCTCTGCTGAAACCTGGGAGCCTGCAATGTGCCGGCGGGGCCTTGGGCGCACACGTGGGAATACAATGTTGGAAAAGGCGCACGCTGAGCCCTGGGCCTTTGCTGCACTGTGCAGCAGGGGGGTCTCTGTCTGGCAAAGACTGAGCTTGGAGGAAGACGGTTGCTTCACGAGAGATACCAGTGTGTCCCCAGAACCTGCTGCAAACCAAAGCTGACTTGAAGCAGCAGCACCAGTGCCGTGCACAGTACAGTGCATGGCTGCACGCACACCTGCGTGGGGATTACAAGGAATGCTTGGTTTTGTAGTTGGGGTATCTTCTGCAGACGCATCTCTGCGTGAACGCACGCAGATAAGAGGCGAGTGGGCACCAGGGTGCTGCCCAGGGGCCGACGTGCCCATCTCCATACAGCTGGGGGGCCCTCGAGGCGAGCCCAGAGCGGCACCGCGCTGCGAGCGGATGCACGGTGCTGCCTGTCCCGCGCCGTGTGGCGGCCGCGGCGGCCGGTGGAGCGCGGGGCAAAGCGACGGGGATGTGCTCCGGCCCATGGGGCTCTCAGGGAGCCGCCAGCCTGCGCCCCGGCAGCGCGCTGGGAAGGGACGGGACGTCTGCTTTGACGTCAGACTGTCAGAGCAGTGACATCGCTGTGTAAATCTAGGTAGAGGTGGCAATAAACTCTACTTTTTTTATACACCCTGGCTCCTGCAACTGTTTGTCGTGGTCGGGAACGGGTTGGTAGTAGGGGGGTGGTAGGTACTGGGCAGGCATTGACCATCTTTGCCCTACTCTGGATTCCAGGGGCCTGCGCAAGATCCTGCGCCTCTTCTTCTTTAAGGTTGGGAAAAGATCCTTGCTCCCACAGCTCTTGGGCAGCACAGGCAGCTTTTCCTCCCTGAGACCATGTCCCCAGCTTCTTCCTTGCCCTTGGAGGCAGCTGGGATGGTGTGTGCTTCCCCAGCCATGTTCATGCCAATGAGGTGTGGGTTCTAAGGCTGCCTATGACATGGGGGTGACCCTTAAAGGCCAGGGGGTACCAGCAGCGCCAGGAGGTATGTGAGACACATGGGGTCTCAAGGAAAGGCCTTTTCCCCACTGCTTTAGCTCTGCCTTAATCAGCCCTATGGGGTGAGTCATCACGGAGCTGCCAGTGCTGAGTACCCTCGGCTCCTTGGCAACCTCCTGTAAACACCAAAACATGGGCCAGTGTCTCAGCCTGAAACCGTTTTGGGGTGTCCAGCCTTTTCCAGGGCTGATGCTGAGCTGGGAGCCAGCCCCGGCCCTGTGTGAGCAGCTCTGTGCCCTGGCTCCCTGCGAGGGATGCAGAGAGGGCATTGCTTGGAATAGGGAAGTCTTGCCTGCTGCCTCTGCCCATCCTCACTCCCCTCTGGGGGCTCCCAGGGTGTCCCACGGGGGATTGGGGACAGTCCGGTGGGGCCCCCCTGCCCTGCAGTGCAGTAGCTCAGCCCCCTCAAACCACGGCCTTCCCCCGCTGCTCCAGAGGAGCCTCCTCCCGTGGGCAGAGCCCTTTCCGCTCCCAAGTGTGGTGTGACACTGCACAAGCCAATGGCACAGGGCAGCCCAGGCAGAAACCCCTCCCCACGGTGGGCACATGCCACTGCTGGAAGCCACTGCTGTGCCTTGCTGAGCTCCCATGGCCACTTTGGTGCAGCTCCCGGCGTTGGGAATGTTCATTCCCTGGTGCTGCTGAGCAAGTCCCCATCCCCTCCTGTACTCCTACTTCCTCCATGGGCACACGAGCACCAGTTCCCCAATGCTATTCCCATCATCAGACAAGTTGATGATGCTGCCAACCTCTTCCCACCACCCCAAGAGAGTGCCCAGCTTGACAAACTGGGCACAAGAAGTGCTCAGCCGTGCTCTATCCTGGGCATCCTGGCGTGGGGGGGGAAGGGGACAGGAGACAGGGGACAGGGACAAGTCCCACTGAGCACATGTCTTTAGCAGGGGCCTGTGTGGCTGCCCTGGCGTGGGCAGCAGAGGGTTAACACGTTCCCGTGGTCATCAAAGGCTGCACCACAGGCTGCACCACTTCCTGCTGCTCCGCAGTGCCCGAAGGGTTAAGGCGCCGCCTCAGGAAGCTTCCAAGAAACGGCTTATTTGTCAAAAATGAGAAGCGGCTGCCGCCCTGAGCCGCGTGTTCCCAGGCGTGGCGTGATGCAGGCCCGGCCCAGGGCTCCCGCGCAGCAGCATCCAGCCCCCGCACATGTCTCTCCATGCGGATGCTGGGGAGCCGGCAGAGCCTGCACCAGCATGCCGGGGCACGGAACAGCTCCTGGCACAGACTTGGTGCCTCAGACTTGCTGCAAAGAGGGCATTGGCAGCAGGGGGGACTGTACACCCGCTCCTTCCTCCCGGGCCAAGGTGTACGTGGGGCAAGGAGGGGACTATGCCACCCTGCCAGGCCAGGCTGAGCCCCCTCCAGACCAGGATGTGGCCCAACATGTGCATGTGGACAGTCCCTGATGGTTCCTGATGATGGCCCTGCAGTCAGGGCTGTGTCAGGGAGCACCTCCTGCCCTGCCAGTCCCTGCTGTGCTCCACTCGTTCTGAACACCAGGAGTCCATCTGGGAAAATTTGGCTGCCGCCAAAGCGGACGGTCTTATGCAAGCATCCCTCCCAGCTCCTCACGTACGCAGTGTCCCAGCCCAGCCCAGCCTCGTGGGAGCCTCGCACACGAGGGAATGGCTGAGAGTTTCCATGTAGCCCAGAGATCCCGGTCTCCTCAAGCATCTGCATCACCTCTAGCCCTTGAGTGAGCCCAGCTCCTGCTGTGTTGGACCTCTCATGGGACCAGGAGCCCTTTGAAAAGGGAAAGCTGGGTTAAGAAATGGAAGCTCCCGCTGGAGAGCAATGTGTATGAGTCATGCTCCCAGATCTGAGCAAGGAACAGCTCAGTGTTGTGGGCACCCATGTGCTACCTATTGGCAGGCCCAGAATGGAGGGAGTGAGAGCCACCTGGAGCATGGCCAAGGGGAACAGGAGCTCCCCAGGGATCATGGGCATTATTTGCCCAAGAATGCAAGTGCAACTGCTGCATCCCCTGAGCAAATGCTTCAAAGGAGAAGTCAGAAGGCAGGTGGATGAGCTAGCACCAGGGCTGGACCAGGGACACTGTCACTTACCTGCCCAGGACTCCCTGTAGCGAAACAGATGGGGGAGCACAGGGGTTACTCGTCACTTGAGTGCAGGTGGCGCAGAAGCTTGGAAAGATGCTCCTAGCATGAGAGAGCAGAGACATGGAGCTTCCTTATCCTTCCCCCAGCCTCATCAAGCTAGAACAGCTCCCAAAGGGCTCCATCCTCCAGCCTGCAACAACAACAACTTCAGAGCAACTGGTTCAGCTGGTTCAACGATGGGACCACTTGGGATGAGATTGGAGGGGCTCCCTGCGGTTCGAGTCAAGAGAGGAGAAGGCAGCTCTTTCTAGCATACATGCCAGGACCAGTCTCTGGCAGAGATGCTGGCAAGGTTGCCCATCGCAGGTGTGCTGCAACCATGCCCTGTGCCAGCTCTGCCTGCCCAGGGGCACTGGCAGCAGCGTAGGATCCGGATAGCACCTCCCACCAGGGTACAGGGAGTCCTCACGGAGAGGCTGTTGCTGTCCTGGCGTTAGATAACATTATACAACCGGGAACCAGCCCAGATGTGCATTCTCCACACCTGCCACCAGCACAGGGAGAACAGCTCCAGGAGACCAAGTCTGTCACCTAAATGAGTATCCCAGAGTGGAAGGGTGGTTTAGCTTGCCTGCTCATCCATGCACACACTCAGCCCTGGTGCTGTCGTGCCCTGCCAGAGCATGAGCTGACCTGCCCAGGAGGGATGGTGTCAGTGTCCGCAGGGAAGGGGCTCTGGCATCAGGATCTGAGCAAGGGCGGGGGCTGCGGCCAGGCACACTCATTTGGGCACATCCTGTTCCCTGGTGGTTTGTGGTCTCCAATGCTCTGCCTCAAACCCAGCCTGCAGGCACTGCTGGTGTCAGAAAGTGATAGAAACCCTAGGTGGTCAATGAGCACCTCGCACAGAGCAGAACTGATGCTGCAGGTGTGTGGGATGCACGTCCTGTGACCCTGCTGTGCTGCCTGTCCTTGAGCAAGTCGCTTCTCTCCTCGCTCCACTGAGAATAGAGCCTGGACAGAGCTGGCAGAAGACGTCCATCCTGGCCAGCTCCTCCCCTCTGCCCTTGCCTCTAGACTCAAGTGTTGGTTGCAATCCTTGTAACCTCATGGACAGCAGGATGAGTTTTCCCATTTTAAAAAAAATGGGAAACACCAAAATGGTTTGTAGCCCGTATCCCATGGTCTGTAGCTGTATCCTCAGCCTGTGGCCTGCGGCCAGTCTATTAGCCAAATGTTGGAGAGAGGCTGGTTCCCTAAGAATGCATGTCACAGCTGCTTGTCCAAGGGATTTTTCCAGAGTCCATCAGGCTCCAAAATCTCACCCAGTGTGTTAACCCTCTGATCTGTCACTAGGAGCATACTGTTACCTTATGACACTTCTGCTTTCGGATGTTAATTTGTGCATTTTTCCAGACAGGAGCTTCACTAGGGGATCTAGAGTCTTGCTCAAACCGAGCTTCTCTGAAAAGTCCCGCGGGCTGTACATTCACCAGCTCCCTCTGAGCACCCAGACTCCCTGCACTCGCTCATGGCCAACGGGCCCCAGAGACTGTACCCTTTCTCTGCTTCAAACCCCTTTACTTATTTCACCAAAACTGCCTCCTCGTTCCCATGTAATAAACCTTTCCTGCATCCTAACAACTCTCAAGTTCTCCCACACAGACGATGGAGCTGCAGCAAAACTACAGGGAAGATGTAGTCAAGCCCTGCTGTGCCCAGTGTGGAAAAAGCTACCTAGCTCTCTAGAGTCTCCACAAGGCAGGACGTATGGAAAGATAAGTTTTGTCCGCATGGTGGAGTGGCTTTTT